GAACTCCCAGGGAACACACACACTCAGTTAGAGCCACACAGGAACTCACAGGGAAGGATATTTTTATATCTGTTCTTCCGTCGGTTTTCCTTAGTTTGTCCAATCAGACACTGATCCAGAGGTTTTAATTCTTGAAGATTCTACAAGGAACAAAATGGACATAAGGTTAAATCTGTTGACTAAAGCCAAGATTTAGTCAAGGAAAATGCTTCTGCTGTACTGATTAGGGCTGGCTATGAGTGCTAACAGAGATTTCAGTATGGATCTGGTGAGCTACAGTGGGAATGAGTTAATGGCAAGTACCTTTGACTGGACATGTCATAATCAGCTTATTTAATAGAACTTCTTAATCTAAGTTTTAATTTCAGTTTAAAAATGTCTCTCTCTATATTTAATAATAATAATAATAATAATAATAATATATAAAACGCAAACCCTACAGAATCAAGTTTTGCTTAAGACAACATCTGGAGTATTTTGTTGACAGTGTGATCTGTCACAGCGTCACAGGCCACAGTGTGTGTTGGTATTGCTGTTGTGAGACAGTTCACTGGGCAATGGTCAATTCTTTCTCATTTCCATTCATCCCCTCACTCAGAAGAGATATGTCAACTGCCTCTTCACACACATGCAAGGCACTGCAGTGAGGCTTGGAATATGTGAGGAGCAAAGGGACAGGTCTAGCTCCCACAGAACTCATAGCCCCCGAGAGGCAAAATGGAAATAAATACGGCGATGTGCCTTTTAGAGATGACCAAGGTGCTGAGGAAGGGGACAGAGCTTGTAGAGAGGATATGGTGGAGCTTCTGTGATGATGTTTAACCCCCAACCTTAAAGAAGACTCACGCATTTCTACAAAATGAGATTTAGAGAGAGGAAGTCTCCACCCAGTTTGGGTGAGTCCATGGAACCTTCCGAGTACAAGCACACACACAGCAGCAGCTCACAGTGAAGTACCTCCTTGCAGCGGCAAGAAAGGATGCGCAATGAAGCCAACAGTTTGAGGGACAGGGACGAGGCTGCCACAAAAGCCCGGTGGGGCTGCATTCTCTCATCATCGCAGGACCGAGGGCTGCAAACTGGCATACATACCCCAGAAGGGCCATGTCTAATTGCAGCAGCTGCATGTACCAGCACCCCCACTGCAGAAGCCAGGGGACTTTGAATTCCCGACCCCCCTGCCTTCAGCTCCCACAGGCTAGGAATACAGGCATATGCCATCATGTCCAGATCTTTCTTATTCATAAAATTATTTTTATGCACGAGGAATGGACGATATCATTAGAAAAATCTATCTAGTTCTGAGCCGTTAACATGATCTTGTTTAGTTAATATCATTAAGATTCTCATTGGGAAAATTAATGTGTCATTAGATACGGTAAGATGGTATTTTTAGGGTTGGAAGTAAGTCAGCTTCACAGGGAGGGTTGGAAAGCAATTGGTATTTTTAAAGACCTGCAAGTTTTTCCTAACCTTGGGCTAACAAGACCACATTCTCCATCAAATAAACGCACATACCACTTACCTGTAGTTCCTGAGCAGGGATCCCTTGGTCAAGCAAGCCTTGAAGCGTGCGGATGGTGGCCTGCAACTGAGTGCCGGTGTACTTGCCGGAGGGAGGGACTCTGACCACAGGCAGGGCAGCCAGCTCCTCATTTGTCAAAAAGGGGTGATCTATCAGAAAGGACCAGATGACTCTTCAGTTCTCTCCCCAGAGCTGATTTAATGAATAAGAGAGCTCACTTGAGCCTGTTCTCACTTACCACTGTCTCACACAGGGGCGTCTTAAGACTACATGAGACTTACAGCAGCATGGCTGACTGGCTGAGGATCACAGTCTACCCACTGCACGGCTACTTCAGCCAGCAGGAAGGAGCTACCTCACCACTGTTCATGAGTCCGGAAGGCTTGTGACTTCCAGATATTTGTATTTTTGAAAGGAGCATGTCTTCTTTTTGTTTGACTTTAATGGCACCATTTATATGAGGAAAACCTACCTAGTTCCCTGTTGTTTTACATTAGATTCTAGACATTGGGGAAGATGGAGACAAAGACATCCGACAGTCCACACATCAGGAGATTGCTCTCAGAACACAGCCTTCCCTTCTCACTACCCACTCTTGGCCTTCAGTGCTGATGTCCTGGCGTCTGACAGTGTTCTCCCTGCAGAAGAACTTTTCTTGGGCTATTCAGGAGTTGAATTAAACAAGGACCCAGAAGGGCCTGGGTCCAAGTGAGTGCCTGCTATATGGACTCTTTATAATAGAAGTCAACGACCATCCCAGACAAAGTGGGGGCTCCTGAACTCAGAGTGGTTAGGGCATGGTGGTGGTGCAGATACTGTTTGGGCAGCGGGATGAACCCCATGAGGAATACAGGGCTGGACAAGAACCCTCAAAAAGCTCAGTGTCTGACTGGGGCATGGTTAGCAGTGATGCACAATTTGCTCACATGAAACAATGTAACTTTTTTCTAATGGAGGGTGAATGCAATCGGAGCACAAGAGCCAGGTGTATGAGCGTGGGCTGCAGGAGCCCGTGGGACGCTGTGCACAATAGTCTACCCCAGCAGAAAGGGGTTCAAGCCATGGATTCCTAATTAGTCGTTTATCCCAGCACTCAGGGGAAGAGGCAGGTTGATCTCTCTGAGTTCAAGGTCAGCCTGGTCTATGTTACAAATTCCAGGTCAGCCAGCCTACATAGTAAGACTCTGTCTCAAAAACCAAAAGCAAACCAAAACAAACAAAATTACTAAGGCTTTGTGCTTGGTGGTTTGTTTTTGTTTGCTTGTTTCAACTTGACAGAAGCCAGAGTTATCTGGGAAGAAGGAACATCAGTGAGAAAATGCCTCCATCAGATTGCCATATAGGCAAGTCTGTGTGTGTGTGTGTGTGTGTGTGTGTGTGTGTGTGTGTGTGTGTGTGTGTGTGTGACATTTTCTTGATTAATGATTGACGCATGAGGGCTCAGATTACTATGGGCAGTGCCACCCCTGGGCAGGTGGTCCTGGGTTCTCTCAGAAAGCAGGCTGAACAAGCCGTGGGGAGAAGCCAGGAGGCAGCACTCCCTCCATGGCCTCTGCTTTGGATCCTTCCTGGAATTCCTGCCTTGACTTCCCTCAGTGACAGACTGGGATCAGAGTGTGTAAAGTGAAGAAACTCTTCCCAAGTTGCTTTTGGTCAAAGTGTTTTATCACAGCAATAGAAACTCTAACCAGAACAGACTTTAAATAATAAAACTCCACCCCCATGATAGTAATATAACATTAAAAAACAGGAGCAAAGAGAAGCGACGTGCTGGTGTTTCTCCACTGGCTTGTCTGGTAAAATGAAGCGGCATGAGGAAGGAGCAGCTGGCCCCCGGAGAGGCTGGCGGTCAAGGGTAACTGGTTCCTGCACTTCACACATTCCACCAGTTTTACTGCAAGTCAGATGAGCTCTGTGGTTTCTCATTACACAACAGTAAATCATGACTTTTTGTTTCCTTTTATGTCAACACACTTCGCGCTTCCCCTAAGCCACTGAGGCTTTATGTGAGTAATTTGGTTATAGTAACCAAAGTCAGTATCTGTGTGATTTAGTTTTATGCTTAAAACCAAAGAGCATATACATATGACCAAAGAGCGCCCATGTACTGTGAGAAATCATCTTTTAAAGCATGTTTCCTATCTACTGTTTTTAGTGAAAAACCTAGTAATAAAATTCTTGCCTTTGCTGGCACCCTCGTGGTCTTGGGCCTCTACTGGCAGCTCGCCGCTTCCGGGTGTGGCTTCTTCTCCGACCGACTTCCCCTCCTGTGATGCCCGAGTCAAGCTGTGCCAACAAACACATTTAGAATATTTTTGTCTCCAAGATAATTTTAAATATCATGATTCAAGCCACTTATTTCCTCTATAACAACTACAGTATCATGACATTTCCTGAGCTCTTGAGAAGGCTCAGTGGACCCTCAGGCCTGATGGCCAGGTTCATCCCTGGGACCCACAGGAAGGAAAGGAACGGCCACCGGTGTTCTGACAGCTACACTTGCAGTGTGCATGTGTGCCACACCTAGGCACATACAACAAACAGGTACATGTAAAAAACTAAAATAAACGTTCTGATTTAAAAATCAAATTCCAACTTAGTATGATAGCACGAGTCTGTGTTGTGAGCTCCTCTGGAGGCTGAGGCAGGAGGATCACTTGAACTTTGGTGTTGGAAACCAGCCTGAGCAACACAGCAAGACCTTGTCTAAAATGCAAACAAAACTTAAACATAAGAACCTCTAAATGTAAGTAAGGTCTCCAACGCACAGTTCTCCAGGTTTATGGTGGGCACTAAATGTACCAAGTGTGCAGCAGCAGGGTTGGCTGCAGACCAACTCCAGGTCTCAGAATCTTGGACTGAAGGAGTCCCTTTGGGGATGGTTTTATTGTGTCAACATGGATGGCATTATTTTTATCAGCATATAACTCCTCTTTCCAATGTGAGCACACGTACGTGAGGGTATGCAGGTACCCGTGTCTGTACAGGAGTAGAAGGCTACCTTGGATATCCTCTTGCAGGTGTAGTACACTGACAGGATATCTCAAGTGTTGGAACTTGCCCAGCCAGTCAGGAAGCCCTAGGGATGGATCTGGCGTTTCTACTTCTCCAGTGCTTGATTACAAGCCCACGGCACCACACTCAGCTTTACTTGAACGTGAGTTCCAAGGCCCAAGCCCACGTTCTCATGGTTGGGAACACGGCCCCTTGCTGACGGCCATGTCCCCAGCCTCCCTCTCATTTTACAAAAGCAGCTCCACTCACTACTGCATCGTGTGAGTGTGTCTCACGTTATTTAAAGGAGTCCCTGTGGAGGAACATAATCTTTAGCTACAACTGCGGGTGAAGACTGTCTCGGTTTCACTCAACGTAATGAAACTCAGCACAAATTCTCATTATTCTGGGGTAGAGACCATGCCATCTGCTGTGATTCAAAACTTAAGTTTATTCCCATGTGTTCAAGGCTTGGTCCACAACTAACAGTATTTGGGGAGCTGGAAATGAGCTCCTGAAGGAGATCTGGGGATCTCAGCTCCTCCTTGTCTCTTTATTTCCCGTCACCATGAGCTTCTCTTTGCTTCTCCACACACTGTGTGTCATGATATTCCACCTTGTCACAGATCCGGAGCAATGGAGTCAAGCAATATCAGCTGGAACCTATGGAACCGTGGTTCCGATGACCCTTTTTTCCTGCACTGTGATTTAATCGGGGTGTCCTGCCACAGCCATGGAAAGCCAAGTCACAGGTCAGCCTTGGGGAGGTGACTAGGAGAAGGAAACTAGGCAGAAAGCTGGCATTCAGGCATGGGTGAGGTAAATGAAAATCTCATGGTTTCCACTTTCTGATGGTCAGGGGAACTAAGCTGAGTTCTCTGTCTGAGGAGACCAGTGCACCCCACTAAAGCAGGGCACAGACTGAAGCTCCCCAAATGTCAAAAGCAGGACAGCAATTATCCTGTTGTTTTTTTCTCCTGGCTTGTTTATGTGTATGGGTGTGTTGTCTGTGCCTGCCGCCCCTGGAGTCTGGCGGTCAGAGGACGACAGCAGGTAACTCGGAAGAGTTACAGATGACTGTGAACGGCCATGTGGGTCCTCGGAACCAAACTCCAGGCTTCAGCTGAGCCATCTGGACCCTTACATTGGCTTTACTGTGGGTATTTTTTTTCTGCTCCAATTCATTGTGGGTTGCAGTTCACACTTATTTGCAAGTTCTGCATCCACGAGGTTAATTTATTTTTATGTCTCTCCATGTGTAACTCCACCCTGGAGCTGGAGTTCTAGGCAGTTGTAAGCCGCCCCAATGTTGGTACTGGGAACCAGACCTGGGACCTCTGGAAGAACAGTATATAGTCTTAACTGCTGACACCTCTCTAGCAGCCATGAGGTCATTTTGCATTCCACTACATACACTTTTGTCTACAAGGACATATTTTGGCAAGCTTCCCACAAGGCATTCCTTTTTTTCCTATTCCTTTGAACATCTGTTTGTTATCACAGTACTTCTCCCTCCAATTTATCATTTGTTTTTCTTTTTAAATGATGTTTTCTACTATAAACAATGTTACAATTATTTATCATGATGATTCTATAAAAATATTCTCTTACAGGAGTTGGAATAAATTCTTTAAAAGTCAAAATGCTAGGTAAGAGAGTACTGCATTTCTTCACGGCTTTAATGACATTAAAACAACAACAACAACAACAACAAAGCACATTCAAGAATCAGCAATATGCAAAAACCTGTATTTCAATGGTATTTTTAATTGTCTTCCTGGGAGATCAAACTAATTTACTGTCCTTTCCTCCTCTCTGTCCAATAGAGAGCACTCCACTTCCTGGATGTCTGCTGTGATTAGGGATGAAGCTATTTTCATATTTTTTAAAGAGTGTGTGCGTCCAAGGAGGCAAGAAGAGGGGTTACTCCCCAAAGCTGGAGTTACAGAGTTACAGCATGGCAGAGCTCCATGAGTTCAAGTCCCGTCTGGCCTACACAGCAAGTCGCAGCCCTCTAGGGGCTACATAGTGAGACCTTCTTCTCTCAAGAGCAAGACAAAGAAATAAAAAAGAATTTCCTAATACCCTTGGTTTGATATTATTTGAAATATTTTCATTATATTTTATTTAACAATTTATGTGTGTTTGCACACATGCCACGGTACACAAGTGGGAGCACGCTTCAGGAGTCAGTTCTCTCCTTCCACCACGTGAGTGCCAGGGATTGAACTCAGGTCCTCAGGCTTTGCAGCAACCACCTTTATCCACTGAGCCATCTTGCCGACCCTGGTTTCATTTGCTTATTAATGAAAACTTAAAAATTTAAAAGTACAGAAAAATGGACAAAAATTAAAAAAAAAAAATACCCATAATGTTAGCAGGAGCCACCATTTCTGGCACATTCCTTTTAAACCCATTTTTTAAAATCATGGTTAAGAGCATGCTACACTTTTTTTCTTTTTGTGCAATAGTTATAAAGACCTTTTCTTATGTCAAGAGAATCTACTTGTAACAAACCTTGAAAAACATATTATGTTGGGTATGGTGGTGTATCTCTTTAATCCCAGAACTCAGGAAGCAGAGGCAGGTGGATATCTGTGAGTTTGAGGCCATCCTGGTCTACACAGTTTCAGGCCAATCAGAACTATATGCTAAAATCTTGTCTCAAAAAGATATTATCTATATTTAACCATGGTTCCATAATTTAATCGCTATTTTTATTTTAAAACAAAAATTGTTCATTTCATTAAAATAAAAAGAACAAAGTATTAAACACATGTTGAAAATTATTTACCTTTCATTGCTTATTTTTTCTTTACATTCTTCAAAGCCATTCACTGACTATAATGAAGAGAAAGAAAAGTCAAATTAGTTCACTGTAACAACACCAATCTCATAAAGCTTAATTTTTTTCTTTAATTACATTTATTCATTTCATGTTACACATAGTTTGCTTGTATGTGTGCATGCTGGATGCCCCTGGTCAGAGGAGGGCATCAGATCCCCTGGATCTGGAGTGATGGAGAGTTGTGGTCGAGAATCGAAGCTGGCCCTTTAGTAAGAACAGCCAATGCTCTTAACCACTGAGCCATCCTTCCAGCACCACGCTTCATTTTTTTTCTGTGAATTACTTTTTATTTTTATTTTTATTTATTTTTTTTTAATTTTTTTTTTTGGTTTTTCGAGACAGGGTTTCTCTGTGTAGCTTTGCGCCTTTTCCTGGAACTCACTTGGTAGCCCAGGCTGGCCTCGAACTCACAGAGATCCGCCTGCCTCTGCCTCCCGAGTGCTGGGAT